AGGGCTAGCCAGGGTCAAAATTTAACAACTAGTTTCTCAATTGCAGCGAGGAGAAAACACAAGTCATGAGCAAATTAGTGTCTGCGGTGTGATCCAAAGTCTCTTTTATGAGAGAGAATTCTTAATCAACTAGGAAATCGAGCATACCATGAAAAAGCAACCATTCTGATGTCTCACAAAGTGTGGAAATAGAAGAACCATTGAAAGATCAGAATGGCCATATTGTTAAGTTGGTTCATTTGCCAGCCACCGATTTGCTAAACCTCCATTAAATTAACTAGCTTTAAAGCTTCCTCGAACTTACAACTGCATGGGATTGCTGATGCAACAAGTATGCATCTGGATTTTACTAAGCTATTTTTCCCTGGTTTCCTGAATGAAACTATCTTCTTTTATATATTCACATTACAGGAGATGCAGCTCTTACGGTTTTGTATCAATTTAATATTTCATTAGCTTGTATTTATGCATCTGGAAATGGCAATAAAATGATTTTAATTCTCCCCATATTGATTTCTATGTGTATTTTTAAAAGGTTCGGCAGAAGGAATAAATCTTTTCAGGATGGAAATGTCCATTCTTCCTAGGGCATTTTAATTCACTTCAGTGAATGATCATGGCCAAAGTATGCCTAACTGTAGGGTAGATCATATTTCTTTTTAGGACCTTTTCTCTTTCCGGTCCGTGCTTCTCTTTGGTCTAAATATTTCCTAGGAACCTACTATATACCCCCATGCCTTCTTGACCACCCCTCGCCTTTCTTACTGAAATCTGACTTTCACCAGATGTCTTTATTAAATGAATCCTTGTGGGGCACCTGGGTGGCTCAGTCCGACTTCGGCTCAGGTCACCATCTCACAGCTCATGAGTTCGAGCCCCGCATCAGGCTCTGTGCTGACAGCTCAGAGCCTGGAGCCTGCTTCGGATTCTGTGTCTCCCTCTCTCTCTGCCCCATCCCCACTCATGCTCTGTCTCTCTCTGTCTTAAAAATAAATAACACATTAAAAAAAATTAAATGAATCCTTGCTAATGAGTTCCTAAAATTGCAGTAAGTACAACAAAACTCCAAAGCAAGGGAATGAAATCTTAACATATAGGAAGGATTTCAGGTTTTAAATGCAAGAGGGGATTTTTGCTGTAAAATTGGAAGGCTTGCTCAGTCTCTTCACATTCCAGGAGGGCCACATTCTCCTGCTGGGTGAAAAACTGGAGGTGCAGGTTCTCAAGTGACCAATCAAACTGAGCTGGTTGTTACAGGACAATGTTACAGAACAAGTCAGGAGGGCTTTTAGATGTGCAGCCTTGACAGAAACAGTTTAATCGTTTACAAATAAACTATTGCATTTCAAAACATGTTTTAAACATTTAGCTCAAAATAAGGCATACTTTCATTAAGAGTGAGAGATTGAAGAAGCCCGAAGTAGGGATGGGTGATAAACGTTCAGGGCTCAAGGATAACCTGTTGACAAGTGCTTGCATATCAGTATGTGTATCCTAACTGAGCAGATAGTTTGGCTTCTTTTTTTGCATGGAATAAGACATCCATGCGTAGGTGATCTGCTTTTTTGTTCTTGCCTTAAAAGAAAAAGAAAGGAGAGAAAACGGCCTTCGTCTTCTAAAAAGTTGTACTGAGGGGAATGGGTTAAATGGTGGATGGGTGGTGAGGAGGGCACTTGTGATGAGCTCTGGGTGTTGTATGTAAGTGATGAGTCACTAAAGTCTACACCTGAAACTAATACTACACCGTATGCTAACTAACTGAAATTTAAATACAAATTTGCAGAAAAAAAAAAAAAAAGTTATGCTGAGGGACTAAAAGCACTTAAGAGGTAAATTATAGGTTGAAGAGATAAGCAATTGCACCCAATAGTATTCACCAAGTAGGCAAGGCCAATGGAAAAGGGCATCCAGATCAGTCATTAAGACAAAAGTTAAGACATTTTTCTAAAAACAACTAAAACATAAAGTTAAACAGTGTTTGAAATAATACATCTTACATACTTGCACTTCTTCAAATCTTGGAATTACCTCTTAGTTTCTATTATACTGTTCAATCATGTAATTTCTACCATTTTCATAAAGCATTTTTGGAAGCAGAAGAAGTATGACACTCGGCCCAAATACCTTCAGAAGGTTCTGTGCCCTGGTGAAGAAAGCAAAGCGAAAGGCAGAGTCCAACCAGGAGACCTATTGACTCTGGTGAGCTCAGAGGAACCTGAGTCATCATCTAAACCAGAGATAGAGAATCAAGGCAAAAATTCTAGATTCGAAGACCATGGCGTCTGCTCCTTTATAAATTGCTAACTGTGTGGGGAGGAGCGGAGCTGGGGGTTGGAGAGGATAACTGATGGTTCAGTGGGGTTCGGTATGGCATACCAGCCATATTTCTCTCAGCTTTTCGTCCCTATGGTGAGAACTTGATGGCCCCATGTATTAGTACCACAGATCTCCTGTGGCAACTCAAAATTGCAGGCATAATGCCTAAACTGGGATAATGGGCCTCCAAAGGTCTGGCCTAGAATTTCCAACCCTATTAGATGAAAGCAAATAGACCAAAAACCAAAAGGAGTTTGGAGACTAATCATCTGGCCTAGAAAACATGTGAACCAGCGTTATTGAACCCTATCAACAAATACATTTTAATATTAAAGAAGAAACTAGAGAAGAGCAGGGACAGCCAAATCACTTTCCTTTAGAAGGAGAGATTCACACAGTAACGATTCACCTTGGGGCAAATTAGAAATTTTGTGCACACTGAAAACAGGGATTATATTGTGCACAGTTGTCAAAGTGTTCACCTGTCCTTTATGTTCTTCTAAAGTATTTAGAATATAATTTGTAGAATATGTGCTAAATAAGCATCTGTTGAGTGATCATGTCAATGATTGAATAATTAAAAGAATACATTCGTCAATGAATAAGTCTATTTCCCTAAGCTTTAGCTTAGGCAAAAATTCACTCTGCCCAGCAGCTTTTTTTTTTTTTTTTATAAGCCCTTGTTCTCCATTGACCACAGAGTTAGTGAAAGAGTAGTCATGGAAGTTGCCTCCAGGGCTCACCACAGTCATCTCTTAAACCCTTAGTATCTGCCTAGTGCTCCAACACATGAGGAAGCCGCATTCTTACACACCAGCGTGACTGCCTCATTGCTAAATTCAAAGTTTTTGGGGTTTTTTTCACTTTTTTGTTTTCTCAGTCTACTCCAGCTTGCTGAAGCAAGTGATAGAATGGAACATAATCTTTTGTCTCCAAATCTGTATAATGTAGTAATTATGAATCTCAAGATAAGCTGAAGTGTGCTTAAAATGCAACTTACTTTACTTTGAGTAACTCAATATAATATCCATTTTGAGTCCCCTTTCTGCTTGGGTTGTAAAATGTGATCTCAACCAATTTTGGGTGGCTTCTCGGCCACCTTAGCCCACTCTTAGGTTTTCTGGAAGTCTCTCAGCCTATCTCCTCACACAGATGATTCTCCTAGGAGCTCTATCCATGAAGCAAGTCAAAAGACCTTTGTACTTCGATCCTACAAAATAGGAGTTATGTCATCTGCCCTGAAGATCAGCTGAGAGGGAAGAAGATTATCTCCTTTTCTCAGAGCCCTTCTAATATGATTACAGCTTTCTTCTGTTTTGCTTCTCACTAATCCTAACCTGGAGAATCTTTAGAAGCTCTGGGAAAAGAAACCTCTTTGTATTTCCTTGTGGTAAAAACATAGCTTCCCCAACTATTATCTGTACCATCTGGACCATGATGCTCAAAAGACTTCGTACTCCAAAGCGGAGAATTGATTTATTTTTTTGCTTTCTGCTTTATCACTCCTACCTTATAGGTATGTGTGCATATCTGATTATATCCTTAGTAAATTTCTCTGAAAATAAACTATTCTTTATAAAGGGCTTATTCAATGCATAACGATAATGCCCTCTAGAAAAATTGTACCAGTTTGTGTCAAGTTATTAGCAGTATATGAGAGTGCCATTTCCCTACATCCTTGCAAATACACCATATTTACCATTTTTAAATTAAAAATGAAATATTTTGTGTTCATCTGTACTTATTTCATTACAAGAAAGCTTAAACATCCTTTCATGAGTTTTTATTTTTGAATTATTATGTGTCCATGAGTCCATGTGCCCATTTTGCTTAGGTCTTTACTGCCATTTAAGAATATTAAAAATTTGTCAGAAATTGAGAATGTTTTTTTTTTCTGGTTTGTTATTTGGCTTTTATGGTATATGAGATAGAGAAACTTAGAATTCGTAAATCTGATTTTGTGATTTTCCCCTTGGCATTTTGACTTCAGAATTCTTTTTCCATTGCAAGATGAACGTTCACCTCTATTTCATTTTAGTTGCTTTATGGTTTTATTTTTACGTTTAAATTTTTGATCGGTTATATTTAGCATAGACTATGAGGTTTGGGCTCCACATTACTTTCTATCTGTAATTATTATTTGTTTCAGCATCCTTATGTAACAGTCCTTTCCCCCTTTGGTCTAAATCCCACATCTGTCCTATAACAGAGTTTTACATAATCATGGATCTGCTTCTGGACTCTGTTCAGAACTCTTACTACAACAATAAGACACTGCTTTAATCATTATAGATTTTTAATAACATTTAATATCCGATAGGGAGACTTTACCTTTATTACTCTTTTTTAAAATTTTGTCAGAATTTTCTTGACTAGTGCATTTATTCTTCCAGGTGAAATTTAGAAATCCCACTCTAAACGTTAGTGTGATATTTGAGGTCTTGATTGCTTCTGATCCTCTGAACGTGAGCCCCCATTCAATCCGTCCGGTACCCTACTGCATCCTAACCTGCCTATACTTCATCTACAAATGCAATAAATAATGATAATGGCAATGAATGCCACTTGCCCTACCTTCTTGAGATTTCAAACTGGGATTTTAATAAGATGCTAATTTCAGATTGGTCTTGCAGGGAAAAGAACATGCAAGCTCTCCCCTTTAAGAGATGTCACTGTTTTTTCAGAGCGTGGAAGGGGAACACCATGAGAAAGCGGTAGAACTACTCAAGGCTGCTAAAGACAGCGTCAAGCTGGTGGTCCGATATACCCCCAAAGTCCTGGAAGAAATGGAGGCTCGCTTTGAAAAGCTCCGGACCGCCCGGCGTCGGCAGCAGCAACAGTTGCTAATCCAGCAGCAGCAACAGCAGCAGCAGCAACAAACACAGCAAAATCATATGTCATAGGTAAGAAGTGCCTTCTTCCGCACAAGGCAAGTCCCTTACGCATATAAGTTTGTTTCGGTTTTTAATATAGTTTCTCAGCTGGATTAAAGTCATTAGGTTTGACAATGCCTCCCAAAAATCAATCAAGCAAATAAAAAAATGATGATCTCAGAAAATGTCAAGAAGACAGTTGCTGACTTTATGTCATTCAGCCATATTTTCTGCAAAGGTAAAATATTTTGGAAAATAATATACTTGCGGGGGGCAGGTACAGATTAGGAGATGCCTTTATACAAATCGAGAAAATACACCCTCTGTGTAACCCAGATCACTGGGCACATAGCCACATGACAAGAGTGTGGGTTGGATTCCAGCCCCACTCAGCCCCTTGGCCATTTGCCTTTGCACAGTGTACAAACTAAACAACCTGATCTTGGGAAGACCCCTTTAGAATACTACAAATTATTGGAAAACTACTCCACTCTGAAGAATGAAGTGGAGACCAGTGTGCATGTTCTAAGAGATTCGAAATTCTCTGTGGGTGCTCACTTCAAATGTGATGCTCTTCCCTTTTTTCTAAATTTCACTTTGTGACAAAAATGCTAAGTCAGGTTTTGCTATATGTTTTTCAGAAAATTCAAGAGAAAATGTTAAGAATCACCATCTTTGAAGTGCCTCTATGTGTGAGGTTCTTTTCACGTATTCTTCCTTATCCTCAGAAAAACTCTTCAAGGTATCACTAAAATCCCATTTTTTAGACGAATGATATGAAATTGCAATGGCTTTGTGGTGTCCTCACAGCCACACTTACAAGTGGCATAGAATTATTTTCCTTTTTGCTCTTTGCAGGCAGTTCATCCACCAACATCAGATATTCTGGAGTTCTATAAATTGTCCTTGCTATCCTTTGGAAGAGAGTTAATAGCATTGTAGACCTCTATGCTGTGACGTCTGCAAATGTGATTTTGAAGTTTCAAATGTCCTTGGAAAAAATGACATTTTTGAACCCATTTTGAACATTAGGTTATAGTGGTTTTAGGTCATTCAACATCAGATTACTATTTGCACAACCGGAAACATTGGATATGACGTGAGACTTTCTGTTGCTTGCAACACAAAAAGGAGAAGCTACAGGGGGAAGTATAAAGACTATAGGATTTGTCCTCAGACAGTGCTGAGGATTCAGTCTTTATTTTATAGTCTGTAAGTGCTATTGTATATACCACAGTTTGGTGACTTTATCTAAAATCACCTTTCATTCATTCTACAAATTACATTTATTCAGCAGTAAATATCTATTTGGTACTGCCGTGGGCCAGGCACTGTTCGATGGGCTGCAGAAACAACATGAACAAAGCAAAGTCTTTGCTCTCATGGTGCTTACATTCTGGTTGGGGGAAATGGTTAATATACAGGTACATGAAAATATCCTGTTGGAACCAGTACTTTGCAGAGTTAAAAGGGTGCTTTGATAGAGTGGCTAGGTGACAACTTTTGATTAGGTGATCAGGGGAGACATCTCAAAGGAGAGGACACTTAAGCTGAGGTTGAAGGACGAGGAGAAGCCAGAAATGAGCATAAGAAGAGGAGGAAATAGCCAGTGTGTAGCTCTAAGAGAGACTCCTGAGCTATTTGATGTTTGAGGAAGAGAAAAAGAGCCAGTGTAATTAGTTAGGAAATAATAAGTGAAGAAAGAAGGTAGATGGGGGCCAGGTCGCAGAAAGCTTTTTAAACCACTGAAAGAAGCTAGATTTTATTGCAGTGGAAGCCACTAAAGGTTTTAAGCAAGGGAGTGACATGATCTGATTTATGTTTTTAAAAAGATTACTCTGGCTGTTCTGAAGAAAACAGATTATTGTAAGGTGAAAGTGAGAACAGAGACTAATTACAAGGCTATTATATAGTAGTCCAGGCAAGATATATGGTGCCTTAGCCAGGATGATAGGGTTGAGATGGAGTGATAGGGATACATCTGGACAAGTCATTTCGTCCACATCCTTCTCCTCTCTTATCCATTCCAAATGTACAGGTATTTTACCTTGGTGCTTTCAGAATCCCTTCAAAGATCTTTTTTCTAATAATGACAATCCACAATTCTTTAGTCAAACATGGACACTCTTTCCACTAACCCCTTTTTTTCCTCTATCCTCAAAAATGCAGACTTGTACCATTTTTCTAATTGGTTTGCCACACTGGCCCAGAGTAAAATTACTCTAAAGTGTTTTGAAAGAAATACGTTGCCATTCAGACTTCTGAGGTCTTACTAAAAGCTTCCACCATTATATCCATTCAGTCTTCATATCTTTCGAATATCTTTGTATTTCCTGGCCTGTGCCCTCAATTCCATCTCTCTGCTCCATCGGCCTTCATTAAATTACTTCAGAATTTCCTATTGTCTCATCGCCAAAGATTAACATAAAAAAAATTTGTTTAATGTTTACTTATTTTTGAGAGAGAGAGAAAGAGAGCACGGGCGGGAAAGGGCAGAGAGAGAGAGGGAGACACAGAATCCGAAGCAGGATCCAGGCTCACAAGCTGTCAACACAGAGCCTGACGGGCTCGAACTCATGGGCCATGAGATCATGACCTGAGCCCAAACCGGACACTTAGCTGACTCAGCCATCCAGGCACCCCAAAGACTAACATTTTTAATAGAAGACATTTACGAACTGTTTTTTTTCCTTATACACGATATGGTGATTCTACTTAAGTGAACATGAAATTTATATTTACGCCTGCCAAGACAGCACTTCCTACACACACCATCATGGCCCCTTGAGATGAAACCGTAGTGACCATTTCAAGTACAAGCCAAGTACAACCAAGTCATGTCGTGCACGGATTTTATGGTGAATTCAGTCAAAGAGACCTACATTAGGTCTTGTTCAACTTTTAATTAATTAGATTTTAAGGATTAAATGGGATTTGTTACACTTCCTAACTCATACTATGACTGCTTTTGGGAAGAAATTTGAAGCTAATTTGACCAATTGACTGAACAGATCTCTGATTTTTTTTTTTTTTTTAAGTTTGACAAGTCAAGCAAAGACCAGGTAAAGCAACATATTCATCAGATACTGTCTTATTGTTTACTACATGAAATACAGTTTCTCTTCTCTAAATTAGGAATTTTTTAAATCCAAAATGGTATATGTTATGAAGCAACTAATCATGGTAAGTGGTACATACAAATGGAAAATATGTTGAATGCAAGTGGTGTGTGGAGAATATCTGTTATGCTCACTTTTAATTTTAAACTCACCTGCAATAAAACTCAATTGTTTTTTTCCCCTTTTATGTTTGATAATCAGGAGGAGTAGATTACATTTTCTAAAAGGTAATAGATATGATCTTTATACAACTGTATTATAGAAACCGAAACAGAGAATAGGCATATAGGTATTTTTATTCTATACCCACTTTCTTGACAGAGAGTGTTACATTTATTTGGCTTGCAGGATCTCATTTTTTAAAGCATGAATTTGTATACATATTCCACCCAGACTCTTGAACAATAAAAGGGGGAAAGAAGAGTAATCCTTCTTGAGTTGTCTCAGAAAAAATTCTGAGGAAGTCAAGACTTAAAAGATTGTCAACTTCCTCTGCCCTCTTGTTGCTGGATTGAGGGTGGAGAATTCATGGCATCTGAAACCATTCTGGATCTTAACATATTTACAAAGTAGCTGGAGTTTGCTAGTGGCCTCACCAACTGTCAGTCCCCCACTTCCTTTACTTTGTCCACTGCTGACTGTTCTATATCCTCCACTACCACTGCCACAGCCGCCATCTTGATGATCCGATCCAGAAAACCACTGCAGAAGTGAGAAAACCAGCCTCAAAGGAAGGATACCTCTGATAAAATTGAATCCAAGGAACCCAGAGTGACCGAGTAGAAAACTGGAATAATAAAAATAATAATCATAATGCTGGATAACATTTATTAAGCAATTAGGGTGTGCCGAGAACTCTTCTAAGTGCTTCATATATGTTTTTTTTGTTTGTTTGTTTGTTTTTTTTAAATTTTTTTTTCAACGTTTATTTATTTTAGGGACAGAGAGAGACAGAGCATGAACGGGCGAGGGGCAGAGAGAGAGGGAGACACAGAATCGGAAACAGGCTCCAGGCTCTGAGCCATCAGCCCAGAGCCTGACGCGGGGCTCGAACTCACGGACCGCGAGATCGTGACCTGGCTGAAGTCGGACGCTTAACCGACTGCGCCACCCAGGCGCCCCTCATATATGTTAAATTACTTAATCGTCACAACAATCCTGTAGGTATTAGGTAGTAGTTTAAATCTCATTTTAAAGAAAGAAAATGAGGCATGGAGGATTTTTTTAAAACCATTTCACAGCTAGTAAGTAAGTGATAGGGCCATGATTCAAACCCAGAAACATACGTTCCAAAGCCTCTTTCTCTTAATCACTGTGCTACCCTGCCTTTTTCTTCGATGGCTCTTGCCCATCCTTCCGCACAGACATGTTCACATAAGCTTTCCAGGGATTCATTCTCACCCTACTTACAGCTGGAGTTACCCAGTTCACCTTTACCACTCATCCCATACCTCAAAGCACTTCCATCACTTTGGTTTTATTAATTTCTTACTGCTGCCCTAAAAAATTACAAGTTTGGTGGCTTAAAAGAACACAAATTTATTGTCTTGTAATTCTGTAGGACCGAAGTCCAACACAGTCTCACTGGGCTTTAGGAGGCTCCAGGGGAAAATTCATTTCCTTGACTTTTCCTGCTTCTAGAGGCTCTCCACATTCCTTGCCTCTTGGACCCTTTTCCTTCTTCAAAACCAGCAAAGGTGGTTAAGTCCTCACATTGCAGTGCTCTGACTTCTGCTTCCTCATCGCACCCACTCTCCTGGCTCCTTTTCTGTCTCCATCTTCCACTTTTAATTATATCAATTGTAGATCCCACTTGGATAGTCCAGGTTAATATCCATATTTTAACATCAGCTGTTTAGGAATCTTAATTCCACCTACACCTTTAATTTCTCTGTAGCATGGAATCTACTA